GGCAACTGAATGTGCTGCACCAGGCCGCCTCATGTTTCAGTCGCTACGATATTCGAAATATCGCGATACATGTATATTTGTAATGTACTACTCATAAGGTTGCTGAAAATCCATCGACAGCCCACGACCGATTTCGCCCTTCTTGGGGCTCATCAGGTAGGTGCAGTGCCCGGGTTTCCGTCAACCTTATGTTCTACTTGAAACCAAATTGCACAAAATTAGCGATTATACACTCATCTGCAAACTAATTTGGTTCTTTCGAGAGCACATTCAGTTGCCTGAGAACATCATAAACGAGAGATTCAGCTGGGTTCCAGGTGAGTCTCTCGAAAAACCAAATTAGTTTGCAAATGAATGTATATTTGATATATAAATACTTTTTGACCTCGGCGGTCAGGCTATTCTACTCTTAGAACCACTACCTTTTGGAGGGCTTTCACTGTGGATCCGTTTTATCCTTTCACTGAACGCACACTGACTTGTGGGAGCGTAATTGCACTTCAAGCAATGAACTCAACTTTGTGCTCTTTTTCGGCTACTTTTACATAACAAGTATCTATTCAGATCATACTACAGACTAGGTGACAGCGATAGCCTCTATCGCCCTCCTTACGCTGCCGCAGTCTTCATCACAGGTGGCCAATTGAAATACCAATTCAGTCAGTTGGAATTTGCCCACAGGAGCTCCCATGATGGGCTGAGATCAAGCTAAGTTCTTTCACACAAACTGAGTTAGCTATCATGATCTGTCAACAAAAAAAGCCTGGTGATATCACGATGAACTGAACACATTTGATAAATTGATGTTGGTGATCTAGCGCCTCGGGGGCGTTGGTTGTCAGCAATAATCTGGAACGTGAGTATGAGCCATCCTCGTAGCTTTTTATACAGCAATCAGTTTTGGCTTGGTACAGCAAACTTTTCGCCGTAGGGTAAATGGTGTAGTCCTCGTGCCTGTTTAGCGACCTGCTCTGACGTTTTCTCATAATCCTTGTGTAAATGGTTCTAAACTTGAATGACGTACTCTACACGGGCTCAGATATAGTCAGAGGATGGTCTCGTTGAGCGTTTGGACGTCATAACCGAGGAGCAGCATTTGTCAGTCACTAGTTCGTCGGAAGTAATATGAGATGGCCCAAGTGGTTGGAGCACGAATTTACTGACCGGTAGGTTCGTGGTTTGAACCCAGCCTCTGCCTCTCGACTTCCCTTGTCTAGGTCCGGGCAACCTGGCAGTATCTCAGCCCTCGTGCTATCTTCGGGTGGCATGTCAGTTAAGCACAGAAAGGGTGCTACAGCTGAACGAATAGGAGACCGGTTTCCTTCGTTACTGGTAACCGACCTAGTCAAATTTGGTGCCCACAGTTGCCGTGAACCATATAATTTCTGTTAGTCGATGTCGTGACCACTCGTTGTTATCAAGGCCGCTGACTGTTTCACTGAAAATTTCTTTTAACGGAGAACACTGTTCGTCATCATTCGGATTATTAGAAACTTGATGACCTAGACTTTTCCACAATGCGTCTGCTTCAACTTGGTACTCAACATCACGTGATTCCAACAGTGTCTGGTCGTACCGTGGTCCATGAAGTACGAATCTGAGATTTGCTTACTTGAGACCGATTGAATGATTCACTCTAAAGGGCGGAAAACAGTGAGGAGACACTATAGAAGATTTCTTGAAATCGACTGGTCCGAACATTAGTTTCAGGAGACGTCTAGGTACTATTACGAGCAAAGTCATGAGGTTGTACAAAGCCACCAAAGATAGCCCATGATGCGTAAAGTACCATCAGTTACAATTTTGACTACGGTCGAATCGAATTCTGGAAATCACTGTCAGTGTTCTGCACGAGCACGAAATTGAATCAGATTGATCGGGATTCCGT